TGTGTGTGTGTGTGTGTGTGTGTGTGTGTGTGTGTGTGTGTGTGTGTGTGTGTGTGAGAGATGATGTGTGTGGACACATATTGCGAGGGCCTCAGCACATAAAGGTATGCAATCCAATTCACTGTCACCCCACCAAGTAAATAATCCATCGATTCCCTCTCTACTCCAATCAATCATCAAGCGTATTCTCAACTAGGCATGACCATTGTTATAAAGAGATGCATGTTGATTCGTACCCGAAAATACTATACTCGCTCCCAGACAAACATGGGATGCAGTCAATCAAAGCACCAATACTCATGACAGATCATTCATGAAAGACTCATCAGAGAGGATTCAAAAAAACACGCTGATTATCCCACACACTCCCAAGATGAATGTATACTCGTCAGTGCGTCACTTCAACTCACCAATTACCCTTATGGTTTTTCCACTCCTCATCATACACATACCCACACTCCTAAAATATCCCACAAAACACCTATTCGAAACGCCTCCAAACTGTAGAGTTCTCCTCCACTCGCCCCGAGGTGAATCACACCGCTTCAAGTGCTACCCAGTTATCCCGACACTGACTAATATTCCCACCGATGATCTGGTCTCGTAGATCCGACGGATCGCACCCCTACTGTTGCTCACGTGCCCACACAACAATCCCATTCAGCAGCTGTATCCCCACGGGGAGACCGCCGTGGCTATTCAACGCCCAATTAAATTGAAGCAAGGCTTCACATACTGCACCCATTACCCACTGTTCTCCCAGTTATTCAGACAACTTAAGAAGACCCCACCACAGTGCGTCTGACACATCATCCTCCTAATCAAACTGTAGTGACATGATCTCTTTCGATAGATGGACCCGCAATTCAGGCTCCCGTCAATCGCCATTCAGCTTAAACGTCGATCCACGACCCTACTTCCGAAGTTATCCTGCATACATCACCTAACCCGGCAATCCCCACACAGGCCATCAAGTCACGCGGGCAGAACTCCCATACCCCACCAAACCGACCCTCCGATTCGGAAACAAAATGAGACAGGGATGCCCAGGAATCACACCTCACCGATCACACACCAGCAAAATTCACACAAGATTGTGGTAAGTCCTTATGATGAATACCAGAGAGATGAACAGGGACGGATAAAAATATCACAAAAAATGATAAGAATGAAAAAACAGAGATACAAGCCGAAGAAGAGAAACGAGGGAAGAGGATGCTCATAGCGCATTCATGCAGGTAATAGGATCGATAAACTTATAAAGTTCAATTTGGTTCTCACACATTTTACCACAAAAAGGGTAGGCGAACGTCCAATCGTTATATTAGGCTAGGGTAATGGCAAATTCCCTTAAACATGTTTTTCCCTGGCACTGCCAAAGGTAAGCTCATTAGAGGTAGCTTGTAGCATAAAGCACATAAATATAACGTTGAAAGTATATGTACGAGAACCATATCATAAAACGTTTCACTATATACAACGTAGCAGGGGATAGTGCTAGATGGAATGAACGGGGATGCTGCGAAAACCTTCACCTCTGGTCGCAGGTCAGCATGACCTCCCTCCCGAACGCTCTCTATTTCTTGATCAACCAGGTGGAGGTCAAGCATCTCCTCAAGGCTAAACGGGGCCTCCATTCTCGCGTGTCCTAGAAGAGTATAGTCCGCAAGGGAGCAAGCAAAAGCAAACACCTGATTCTCAACCGGCCAAACAAACAAGCTGGCAATGGCACAGTGGCGCTAGCAATAGCGGCGAACAAGGCAGCGTACCCGAACAACCGAAACTGCATTGGTAGTGACAGTGGCTGACTCGCACGCATCGTCGACAAGAACCAGGCAGGTGACTCATGCGCGCCCCAGCATTCGGGTTATTACCCCGGACACTAAGAAACGTACGCTTCACCGACCAAAGAGGATTTGACTATCCTTGGTCCTTACTAAATAGTAGGTGATTAGAGCGCTTATGCCCCGTCATCCTTCTAGACTAATCCTTCGCCTACTAATTCCGGTTCATGAGTCCTTCCTGACTCTGCAGCAGGGTCCATTCTAGGCCCGAAAATGTTTTTCCTCGGATTTAGCCTCCACCCTACTGCAGGTACCATTAATCCAATCGGACCCTCCACCTTTTTCCTCGTGCGTCTCTTAACCTCAAGTACCCAGGACCCAATGGCATGCGAATTTTTGCGGGCTTACCATCCCGCCCAGTAGTATTTTATCAAGAATTATCCAGGAGTCTACTTTACCACAGGGTTACTAAAAAACCGGGCCTTATACACTCGTAGGCCCAGACTAACCCAACCCGCACTCATTCCTACCCTTTGAAGATTGATGAGGTAATAGGGGGTAACCCAACCTTGTATGCGTGTGTGTGTGTGTGTGTGTGTGTGTGTGTGTGTGTGTGTGTGTGTGTGTG